TAGAAAGTAGTATCAAACTAATGCAAAACAGCAGAGAGGAGAGTGAATCTCCTTTAAATCCTGTTAACCTGAATACTTCTTTTTTCTACTGCTTCCTTTCCGCTGTATATGAGTGACATATTACTCTGCAACTTCAGACTAGCCTTACAAAACTCAAGAAGTATGGGAGGATATCGATAGAACTTCAAAATCCAATCGTGTGATACATTGTTGAAGGCCTTCTGATAGTTAATCCAAGCCGTGCTTAAATAATGTTTTCGTTTTCTTACGTCATTCAAGATGACTTTATTTAGCTGCAAGATTTCCTTACAGCCATACGAACTTTTACGACATTGATTTTGTTGAACTGGCAGCAGATGGTTGTTCTCTAGGTGTCTGTACATTTTGTTAGCTAGGGTGAAGTTATAACTTTGTACATTACGGGCAGACGAGTGATTGGCCTGTAGTTATTTTCCAAAGAACTGTCTCCTGCTTAGAGTAGCAAACACTTACACAGCTTAGAGTGATGCTGCTTGTGAGCCATTCCGGGAGTTCCTTTGGGTTTTCTAAAATTTTATTATTAGTTTTTGCTAGAAGAGAATGTAATGTACATTACTTAATCCAATAATTGTGGATCTTAACAATCCAGGGATTTCCAGTTTCCCATCTTCTGAATTCCTTTGAAGAGGTCCTTTTCTGAGAATTTGTGAACATGTTCCACTTTTCCACAAGTTCATTGGCAGCATCAACTTCAGATTGACGCCAAGATGCGTCTTTGTTGTAGGATTTGCTTTCCTACCAGATTTCTGCCCCAAATGTTTCGACGTCATCTTTTAAAGGAGTGACAGCATTGCTATTTGTTTTTTGCAATAGGATATTATATAAATTGCAATAATTTCGCACAAGTGTTTCAAACAACCGAATCTGGACACGGAAATTTACTCACGTTTGTAACATATGACGCGTTGAGCCCATGTTTGGATTTTCTCTTTTAGCTTCTCTGCTCTGTCTTGGTTCTTTTTGAATTTTGTTTTTTTGTTCAACATGTATTATTTTTTGTTGAACTTTAGGGGTGTACATTGATTTACAAGGTGCCTCAGCAAAGAGTGATATTTCACAACGAGTGTCGTCTATCCATTTCATAATTATTTTCACCCATGGCGGTACGAAGCTATTTACTCTGTCTGTCTGTCAGTCATCATTGTTCTTGGCTGGTCCCAAAATTATCTGAGATAGATACCCAGTTGCATAAATGATGTGATTGATTTCGGAAGTATCTAGGTCTCTACCTGGGGTCTGTACAACCTCATTTCAGACAGAATTTGCTGCCTCTTTAGCATTTTTGTGTTTTCTCCTCAATGATGCCCAAGATTTGAATGGAAGTAGACAAAATCGTCCTATCTTACATCGAAGGAGGATCTGCATCATATCCTTGTCGTGTTATTGATTGCCAGATGAATTTTCTCCGTTGACGGATGTTCACTGGAAAGAAATGAGAAAAGGACTATCGTTTTCAGGGATATTACATGGTTCTAAATTTTAATCATGTAGATAGTTCAGTCAAACAACATACTCTGCATTCAGCACTTCTCTGAATGTCTGCAAGATATTATGTGAATTTTCCACAACGAGGGCAGGTGAAAATCTTCAGAAGACACTGTCCCATTCTACTGCAAATTTGCTCATAGTTTTGAAAGATTATTCGTGACCTTAATTCAAGATGTCTTTAGAGAATGGATTCCATTAACAACAACAATAGTAATAATTTAATAATTATATAATAATAATAAAAATTTTATTATTATTATTATTATTATTATTATTATTATTAGTATTAGTATGCCTTTATTAATACGGTGAGGTTCAGGACATCAGGCCCGCTCTTCCGCCTAACCACATGTCACAAATATACAGAGTAATGTAGTAATAATAAAAGTACTGAAAAGTAATGTTATCTAAAAATTTAAACGTAATATAATCCACAACTGGTATTTAGTTAGTGGAAAGCAAGCGTCATTTAAAGCAACGTATAAATACTTAACATCAGATGTTAAATGGTTACAATGTTACAATAATAAGTTTGAAATAATTTTAAAATCAAGTCTGAGATTGAAAAGTCAATTTGAATTAAATAAGATTATGTGCTTTAAATATCTGCGCGCTACGCGGAAGCCTGGTATTCACCCCGAGTGACTGTGATCTATTAATACAGAAAGACACCATCACACGTCGCTCGATCCTGGAGGAAAACTCGCTAGTCGGGGAAAACCCACCAGGCAGACTGCGTCCTAATACAATGGAAACTAAACTAACATGAAGTAACGGGACTTGGGATGGTATCCTCAGCTGCGGTCAATGCTGTAAAGTGTCGTTTTCTTGTTTAAATCCGCCTCTGCTCCTACGGATGAAAGTACAGTTCGGCAGTATCAAACAGGTCGCAAGAAATTAACATTTTTTTTACAAAAGAAACGTTAATGTTATTTCTAAAACATATTAATCTTAACACTCCTAAAGAATAGTTTTTATTTGACCTGTAATCTGCGGTGATTTATATTGCAAAATTATGTATTTTACTTTGTAAGAAAATCATGCAGGTGCTTCTTAAAAGATGTTAGTTAATAAGGAGGTTTTTAATATTGGAAGGCAGTTTATTCCATTCCCAGGCTACAGTAATTGCGAACGAATTATCGTAGTAGTTGGTTTTGCTTTTTGGAATGCAGTGTAACTGGGATTTCTGAAATCTAGAGGATTTTAGATGTACAAAATAATTTGTTAAGTATGTCGGGGAACCCATTTTAAGCATATTAAATAAAAGACAAAGGCTGTGATACAAACGCCTATCCTTTATTGTTAATATTTTGGGCTGCTTATAAACACCGGAGATGTGATCGTATTTTTTTGTTATAAATGAAACGAATACAGGAATTTTACATTAACCTATTAACACCTATAACACAAATTATTTTTGTGCCGATAGCAGTTGCCCATTGCTGCATATGCCCCTTCAAATTCAGTGCATGGTTTGTTTTTATACCGGCCTCTCCCTTCAACTGAACCACAGGCATATACACTACTTGAAATAATTATTGCATCACTTGATTTTCAGAAATATTATCTGCAATACCCAACTGCCAGGGGAAGTTTTCTTTCCCGCCACGTTCTGGTGACACGCATGCTTGTTTCTTTTTGTTAAACAAAGGACTGTCACATTGGGAAATAATCTGTAAATCGAGTTGAACCCCATTTTGTCCCTGTTGATTCCAGGAGTGTGTAATGAGTAGTTGCACAAAATGAGAAAGTGTTGGATTAATTACTTGAAAGAAAAGTGTCATTATTGTTCTAGTATCTGAAGGAAAGTCTACAAAATGCATTGTTAAGAAAATCAGTTTTAATCTAACTAAAGATAGCAGGCTTTTGAAGAAACACCGAGAAACCAGACTGTTGACAGAAGACATGAAAGAGGATGTATAAGAGCAACTACAGTGACAGACAGAAAAAAGACAGAATACTGAAACGAATATGTACAGGTGAACAGGTGTATAACCTCATGTGAACTTGTTTGTGATTGGGAAGAGTCAGCTAGTGTTGTGCTTAGCAGCAGAACTCTCCGAAACAGGAGGTAGGATTAAATGCAAGAAAACCACTGAAGAAACCTTTACTGACTAAGAAAAGATAAGTTCAATTAAAATGGGCCAAAGAGAAGGCAGAGTGGACTGAAAAAAATGTGGGCAGAAGTAATGTTCTCGGACCAGTCAAAATTGTCTTTATGCAAATGATGGCAAGATCCTTGTTTGTCATCAAAGCGGCGGAATTTCTGATGCCTGAAGGTGTGAAATCTAAAATTAAGATTCCTGAAATCAGATGGTCTGCGGATGCATATTTACAAATGGGAGTAGTGCATTGTGCAGGGAACAATGAATTCTGAAATTTGTATTAACATTTTGTCAAATAAACTATTTCCATCAGTTTCCAAATGCTTTGGATCAGCAAAGAACTGCATTTTTCAGGATGATTCATCACATCAGAGCTACAAAGATAAAAATGTTTCTGAGAAAACATCAAATAAAAATTTTAAGCTGGTTAGGTTCCAATCTGGACTTACCTCGTATTGAGAATTGTTGGAAATTAATTGGATATGTAGTTTCCCGAAATAAATCCAGAAACAAGGAAGAGCTTCAACAGATTATTCATAGTGTATAGTTCAACCAGTCTTCAGAATAAAGTATTAAAGATTTAATATTTTCAATGTGTCGGAGGTCTAAAGCTGTAATAAAATCTTGAGGAGTAATTACACAATAATAAAATCCATTTCTACACAATATTATACTGGTTTTAGTAAAAAGTTATATTCTTTTTTATTTGCCTTTAAAAATGTCTAGGTTATTTTATTTTGTTTGATAGTTTCATTGTTTACAGTTATATTTTCTTTAACATTTTATTATGATGTGAATTTGTAATAAAATCGAACATTATTTGGACCAATCTTGATGTTTTTAAAAATGCAGTATTCAATCCTAAAATTAAAGCATTTAATAAATCATAATACTATTTAGTATGAAATATTTTTATTCTACAGTATGGGCACCACTTAATATGGGACAAATCATTGACATATACGACCCTCAGAATAAGAAGTGTACCATTTGTGTTCATCAGAAGTGTGAAAAGCTACACTGAATCTTCAGAAGTTTATTTCAAGAACACAGTTATCTCTTTTTGCAAAAACTTCCATTATAATAAATAATGTTTTTAGTATGTTTTCAAAAGATATACTTTACACTGTGCACCAATGGAATGACAGGCAGGGCAGGATGAGCTATGCCATAAAATGCCCTTTTATTCTTGTAATCTTGTAATGGGAATAGTTGTTTATCATTTTTAATCTTTTTCTATTAGATGTATTTTCTTCATTTGTACTATTTTGCAAATTAATTTATAATTTTTTTCATTAAAAGCTCACAAAATTAATTGTTTTGGGGCATAATGTGGTAAATTATTAATAAATGCATCATGTTGTACAGGTGATTCGACAGAAGATGAGACATTGAGCTCCCATCGAAATGGAGGATATTGCATTGATGATAGCTCTGAAAGAGATTCAGGGATTGTAATTAGTAAAGATTCGGCAGAAGAACTTCAAAATCATCATTGTAGTGATCATATGCATCTTTGAATGAATGTTTTGTGCATTCCATTTTGGGTATGTAATGAATTTTAGTTAAAAAATTTGATAATAATGTACATTTATAATTCTCTTTTATTTCTCTTCTATCCAATCCTTCATTTCCTTTCAGTATTTTTATACCTTCATTATATAATTATATAATTTTTGTACTGCAGTTTTTATTCTCTTTCACCATTTTTGAATAGAATAGAACTATAATTATTTTCAATATTTCACAATGTATGCTCTTAACTGTCTCTGGCTTCAGCATGACATAGGCTTGTTGAATAACGTTAAGATTATCTGCTAAAGGTCTTCAGGAGCAAAATCAATCTGAAAGAAAACTATCAAAAGTAGTGGTGCTACATCAGAACATACCTTCTTGTCATATTTGTAAAATGCAATTTTTGAAAATTCAGAGTTCACCGGAAATCATAAGCGCCAATTTTATAAGTGAACTTCTCACTATCCAAAAAAAAATTAAAAGAAACATTTGGGGCTGATTTTCAGAAAATGTTCTTTAAAATTGCTTTTATTACTTGATTGCAAAATTATGCAAAAACTACTCATATTTCAAACAAATTGTACATGATCTTATTTAAAATATTTTAAAGTACAGATTTTTGTAGGAAAAATAAATCATTATTTTTGCTAAAGAAAAAAGCAGAAATTTATTTAAAATTTAGCTGTTTTCAAAAAATTGGAGAATTCAACAAATTTAGATCTGCACCATGTTAATAAGTGAACATTGCTTATTTGAGGAAAAAATTGGAGCCATTTTTGAGAAACTCTGAAAATGTCATTGGGACTTTGTGTAAAGTATTCGCCGAAATCAAAAATGTCTATTTCAAATTGAAGGAACCATGATATCACCCAGTTTCTTTCCAGTATATCAATTTTAATGAAAATCCTGCGTATTGTTTCCACTAGCTAGCATTGTTTACAGATTGATGGATAGACGTTTTGCCGAAATTCAATTTTTCACTATGAAAGAGCCACAAAACGTGGATTCTGACTATCCAAGGTATTAGAGGCAGTTATTTACATCATATTATAGGAGCAAGATTTGTTTTATATCAGAGACCAACAACACAAGTTTTCTATTGATAAATCACCGTATTCCTCTGTAACATTACAATATTTTACTTATACTACAAGAGTAGTATGTGAGAAAGGATGCTTAAAACATTTACCAACAAGCCTAAACAACCCAGACAGAAAAGAGCACACACAACTTCAGCCTATGGCTTCACTTCATTGTTTGTGTTTTACTTTAAAAAGAAAGCTGATTAATAATAATTGTAAAATTAATTATATTGTGTTTCTTTTTAACAGTAGAAAACTGTGTTGTAATCAAATTATGTGAATTTCTGTACCCTTATGTTTGATTTCAGGAATTCAGTACAAGTATTTTAAATAGATAATTGCTTTTGCAATTTATTGAAAAGTGTAGATTACATTCTAATTTGCTAACTAAAAACAAGATTGAACTTGGCATTAATCCATGATAAGATCAATGATTTTGTAATGAAATATGGCCATGATGATGAGGAGAGCATTGACTGTATATTGATAATTGACAGTTGTGATGAAATTGAGTTTAGTGCAGTAAACTTTGAAGATACCAAAGATATTTGATGCTTGTATTTTGTTGTTTTTGTTGTTATCAAGTGTCAAAATATATTTCCAGGAAATATTTTGTTAACCTTATTTCCCAATGTTATAACTGTATACTGTATTAGTGTGCAGAGTGGAAAAAAGGCTTGCAGACCTTGCGTGAAAGATATTGACAATTTGTATGTTTATTCCTTAATGTAAACAGTATTCTCAAAAGTGGATAATGTAATTAGAAGTATTGTTCTCCTAGCCCAATACAGTTTATGGCATTTTTGTAAGTCAGATTAAACATTGGAAATGTGATTGTAATCATTGAAGGTTGTTTACCAAGCATTTGCAAGGAGGCAATTGTGTGTCTAATGTGTACAAAATGTTTATTTCTAAACAGATATAATATCTGAGTGCTATATGATTGTGTGTTCATAACGTAGTTCAAATTGTGGGGACTTGATGTGATTCTTGTAGTGTTGCATTTGCAGCATAAATTTGTTGACGTGGGTTTGCTTCTGGTGCTTGATTTAGTGTGAATGTTATCAAATTCATTTCTAGATAATCATCTCTACTCATCATAATTATTGGTATTTCTGATTTTTCTCTTTATATATTCACCAGGAGAAAATATGTAAAAAATTCAGTTGTTTTAATGTTAATTATCATTCTGACAGTGGCATTCAGTTCTAAAGGTGTACATTGCTGATTCTAATAACAATGTGTTTTATCAAACTTTTCATCAAGTGGAAAACTAACGAGTTTAAGGAACTTCTGTTGTGGAAGAAATAGTAAAAAAAAAAAATAAGAGAGCTATCTTCCAAGTCGAGAAATTTCACATAAGTGCACATTTATTTAATCCTCTGCCTCCATGTTAGTAAATTGGTTTGCCACAATTGCCCACAATTAGCTGACCGATTTTCACTGAAAAATATAATTATATTATGTTGTAAATGTATCTGGTTTTATTTTAACTGAGGTAAACGATTTACTATTTCTTTTCAACGTTGCCGGAAAATATTACAAAATTATCTAATATTAACAGATTTTTTTAACATAAAAATTTACTCTCATCCTTACTTTCTTTCTCTCTCTCTCGTTCTCTTTCTTTCTTTCTCTCTTTCATTCTCTCTCTCTCTCTCTCTCTCGTTCTCTTTCTTTCTTTCTCTCTTTCATTCTCTCTCTCTCTCTCTCTCTCTCTCTTTTTTTTTTCATTGTTTCTGTTCTCCTTTTTCATTGAGTACCTTGTATTAGTGTGAAGTTTAGTGATTAGTCTTGAATATTATGTATTAAGGAATTGTGGCTTTATTGTATGTATGATTTACACTGAATACCAAAATTTATTTTAATTATTAGTTAACTTTTTCCCATTTATAGTAAAATAGTGGACATTCTTTAAGTGTTTATAATTATTTATGAGAAGGACCTGGGAATTCTGTGCGACTTACAGACCACAAGTTGTTGGTAACATGTGTAATAATTTTAAGTCAGAACTAGGGCAAAAATAGTGAAACTGTTTATGGACTTTCTTCAAGGCACAAGTTCCTTGTCTGTAAACATTATTTCTTTACCATATTTCCAATGAAAATAAATTTGTGATACCTCTTTATCCTCAATTTTTGTAGTTATGTGTTAAGCTGTAATTAACTGTATGAAATAGTTGTTTCTTAGTTAACAGAATATATAACTTAGTTTTTATTTTGTATTATACTAACTTTTAAATACAGGATGAATTAGAAGAGAATGTTATTTCCTGTATATGTGTTAGTATGATGTGAATTGTGAGTTCCTGACAAATTTTAATTTTGAACCATTCCATAAGAAACTATTACTTCTTTGCTGATCTATTGAAATTGTAACACTTTCAAAGAAATCAAGTTTTGACTTGCTTGAAGTTTTGTATCTTTATCTACCTTCCCAAGAAGTATGGATAATCTTTTTACTTACTTATCAGATATATAGGGCAATTTTTGAAAACAATTTCATGTTATTTACTGTAAAATTAGTTTGTGTTGTATGTTGCTAAAAAATTAAAGTGCAATCATGATCCATGCTCTTCTGAATAAATATGTACTACACTTAAATTGATGTAATTGAACTTAAGTTTTATATATGCAGTATCAACACTGCCCAGTATAAATTTTCATGTTCATCTTGCCATAGTGAAATAATAAATGAAAATTGCTCAACTTGCATATTAAATAAAACAATATTCAACAAAATGACCTTTACCAAAATTTTTCCTTAGGTGTCCAAACATATAATATGTTAACCTGAAATATATTAAAATTCCTTCAGAATCCTCAAATTATGGTGGTAGGTTCAAATATAAACATTCTTTATAGAGAATTTTCCTTGTAAATTATTCACAGTAGGGCACCTGTTAAGATCTAAATTAATTGAAAGCATTTTTTAACCATACATAGACATTTTACTATAATTATGTTTTTTAAATTGGTATTTATAATAAATTTTAATATAAAGGAAGTCATGACTGAGCATACTTTTAGCTGATATATTTATTAGGAGTTAACGATGTCACATCAAGTGCTGCATAGTGTGAAAGTAGGAACTTTTTGTGTAATAATACCATGCAATAGGTTGAGGAAAACTACTTGAGTTATTTGAGTCTTTGGCTTCCGCAGCCAGAGTCGAAATTGTGGCTGGCTGGGTAGGGTTAGTGTGGTTGCCGATGTTCCAACCATCTTGTTGTGGTCTTCCTCAGGGCTAGTCTGCGCCGGAGTGGTCAGTCTTCAACGCGGCGTAACCCAGACAGCCAAGATCTCTACTTCAGATATTTGTTTATTGTGCTTTTCTGACAGGTTGTGATCTACTGTAATACTGAACTGTAATAACTTTTACAATTGAAAATTATTTCATCTTGTATGCATTATTTACTACATTGTCTGAAAATTGTTGAAAAGAGTTAACAGTATACTCATTTTAGTACAACAAAATTACCAGAAAATGAAGGGGGAATTCTTAACTTTATTTACTACAAAATCATGTCATTCTTGTTGAATGTTTTAGTTTTGGAAGAATATGATATACATTGCCTCTATTGTCAATAGTTGTGGGAAAATAAATAAATATATTTTTTATTGTAGAAGTGAAAATATGTGGATGTGTGATCTGAAAAAGCCAGTCAGAAAATATTTTGACTGGAGGTTATTGGGCAAAATGTTTTATAAGTTGATGTTCTTTATTGTTCTCTTATGCATGTATAAATAATTGTTAATAAAAAAATTTCAAAGTAACAAAATTTTATTTTTTTTGTATAATTCTTTACAAATTAACAACAGAAAATAGGTAACATAAGGGTATGAAAATAATTTCGAAACGGTGGATCATGATTTTTCCCTTTTCAAATAAGTACATTTCTTATTCACTCTCAAAACCAAATTCCAGTTAGGCTTTTGAGCTACCTAATTGTTTAGCTAGCAAATAATGTTTTCGTGGTATAATTTACTACTGAGATTGTATATATCAAAGAATTATCAAATTCTAGAAATTGATAATTGGATATTTGGTCATATCCCTTCATTTTATTTTTAAAACATTCACTTGTTCCTTATTTGTCTGACCTGGTAAAGTATTTCTAAAATTAAATAAATTATTATATATAATAAATTAATCTTACCAAACTAGTTTGCATTGTTGAATATTGCAAATTGCTTTGTTATTCAAGGGTATTCTTATTATTGAGCATTTTTGCAAGGACTGGTCATATCTTTGCCAATAAGCAACACCAGGCTCCTTTTCTATACCTCTGCCATTTTCTCCTTTCCTTTATTGGTCTCCCTTTCCTCACAAAATGAGCTGCATTTCCCCAAATGCTCTTCATCATCCATCTCCCTTGTAAGCTTTTCCTCTATTTTAAAAATCCTTGAATCAGTGGTTTATGTAGCACCCTTGCCATTACGTTCCTTGTCATTCTTCCATATATTTATTGTGTGTTGCGTGGTGACATATAGGTGCTTTGATTAAAGGTGGAAATAATAATTTCCATCATTCTCCCAATGAATATGCCACAACAATTGTAGAACAGGTATTGACCTAAAAAATGTTTTAATTGCAGTGATCTTTGGTACTTGCAATCCATTTCTTTTGTTTCATTTTCTTGCCATTTAGTTGAAAAATGGGAGGAATGACTGTCAAATTCCATACAGTGAACAAATTTCCACTGGAATTAAGTGGTACATTACAAAAGGCCTTTTCTAACGTTATAACTATTAACTTTCAAAAATTTTCTATGCACTTCATGCTTGAAGACATCGTTATTAATCCTCAAGATACTTTTTGGATGAAGTTAACAATCTGGGCTTCTCCAATATCTTAAATTTTTTTATTTTTTTTAGGTCTTCTAGTTAGGAGTTATCTAGTTTTGTTATTTATCTTGTTGGATAACATGTAATTAATTGAAAGGATTTTTGTTAATAATAACCTTTTCTCACGAAGTATACCTTGTTTACTTCATGCCTTTTCCTTTGCAGTAATTTCCTGAGAATGCAAACAAAACTTTCTGAATTTATATTATTCTCTGATTTATTTCATTTCCTGAAATTAATTCATTCCCTGGTTGACTGTAATCATTCCTCTTTAATTTACAAGTATTATTCTGAATCAATGACATTTACTCACTCTCATCAATAAATATTTCCAAATTCCATTATCCACAAGCGATTATGCATTTTTCAATTTTAATGGTTTCTACCTCTAATTCTATAATTTGGAAAAAAATTATGATCACTGGTACTTTTCATGTGTTGAGCTATCCTCATCTCTCATTAAACTGAGACCTGTGCTTTTCTTGCAAAGATCAATTTTGCAAATAATTTTGTTGTCATTGTAGACACGAATTTTAAAATTATGTACATCAGACAGGTTTGTTTGCGCTACGTACTAATATTTTGACATTACTTTTAGCATGTGATGCAGAAGCAGATCATGTGTTTCTTCATGAACTAGAAAATCCAAATGATTAAATATCTTTTCTGGCACCCAGTATAGTTCCAGAGCATTTGGTATTTCTTGAGACAGTCTCACCACACCCTGCAATTAAAGAAATAAGTTCTGTGAAGTTTTCACTTATGTTTAAACCAAACATGCACGATATGTTACATGGTATATTTCCTAGTATTTGTTTGTATCAGAGAGGAATATATGTGAATGAGGACAAGACAGTATTGCTGGGATGGTGATGGTAAACAAGCATGTGAATGATCCAACATGCTCTGGGAAGAAAGGAAGAGTTTGAAATGGGACATAGTGACATCATAGGGAGGATGCATGTTGATGGGGGTGATGCCATGAGGACAGGTCATTCAGAATGAATGCAAATTCAAAACACTATTTGACATGACAGTCTATAATTTATATATGAATTTATTTGTGACAATCAGATGGTTTTGTAAAATCAATAAGTGGATGACTTTTGGTTAATCAGTGAAGTGTAAATAAGTTAAATGATGGATCTGAAGAAAATTGACATAAGCTTGACAGAAAATAAAATTGAACATTTTTATTGAACCTGGATGACACAAAATTATTACCGAAATTGACATTGATTGAAGTGAAGAAGGCAAATAGAAGCAAAAAACTGGCTAGTGTGGATGAAAGGTATTGTGGATATACTAACATTACTTGTTGTTACAAATGCATTAACAAAACATTCATAAAACTGGCAGTTGTGTTGTGGAGGTGCCCAGCACAGACATTGGAAGAATTCATTTAATCTATAAATGGAATTGATTTTTTTTAATGCTATTTCTGTAAGTAATAATTTGTAAAGTTAAGGTATGTTTGATAGAGTACCGCTATTCATTTGTTAATATTCTATCAAACTCTATTACCTCTGTGTTTTTGGTGTGGGTTTGGAAGACGAGCAGCATGTGAAGTAAAACGATGGGAGACGCAACGAAAAAGCAAGGCTTAGGATGTGTGATCTGTAGGGTTGAATGAACTATTTGTTTATATTATGTCATCAGTGGATGGGACCATCCAAATCAATACTCGAATGATCACGAGAAGTCCTTTCAAGAATTTCATCTTGCTGGGTATTCTGGTCAGTTGATTTTTGCAGGTGGATATGAAGGAAAATGGATATGGAGTGGTAAAGAAACGTTGGTACATAATTTAGTCAATCGTGTAATGTGTCAATTTATAAGAGAGCAAAATGGATCGTAGAGAAAAGGATGAAATAATTAAAAGTGGTAATTTCTTTTTAAGTATTCGAGAACTTAAGGAAAACATCCAAAAAGGGAGTCATTCATGTGAATGAATTTGGCCCAGCAACAGGTATCAGTTCCCCAAAACCAAATGGCTTATGAGTAGTTATACTATAATTCTAACATAAACATAATATTTTTGACAGGTAATTATAATTGTAACTTTTTTGTTAAAAAATACCTACATTTATAGTTCATTAATGATTACCTAGGGCTCATGTTGAAGCTCCTATTTCTGGTTCTATGGTATTAGCAGGTGCATTATTAATATTAGGTGGTTGTGGAATAATGCGTGTTTTTAGAATTATGGCATTTTGTTGTGTGAAATATAATTTTATTTGGATTGATATTAGTTTAGTAGAGGGTTTTTGATATGTTTGGTATGTTTACATCAAGGTGATTTGATATCATTAATCGTTTATTTGTATGTTATTCATATAGATATGGTTTTGAGTGGTTTAATAACTTTAAATTCTTGAGGTTTTTGTGGCTGTTATTTAATAACAATTGGGCATAGGTTATGTTCTTCTGGTTTATTTTGTTTAATTAATATTGTATATGAATGATTGGGAAGTCATATGTTAATTATTCACAGGGGGTTGATATGTATAATGCCTAGATTGACATGATGATTTTAACTTAGATCATCTAATATGGCAGTCCCTCCTTCCTTGAATTTATTGGTGGAAATTACATTGATTAATAGAGTGATATCATGGAATTGAATAAGAATATTTTTAATTACTTTAATACCTTTTTTGGGGGCTGCTTATAGATTGTATTTATTTTAATATAGTCAACATGAAATGTGGTTTTCTGATTCATATAATTATATTAATGGTTATTTTCATGAATATTTATTATTATTATTTTTGTATTGATTTCCTTTAAATATCATAATTTTATGTGGAGATTATTCTTTTTGTGTTTGGCTTCATTAGTTTAATAAGAATGTTGATTTGTGGAATCAAAGGTATATAATAATTAATAATTTATTTATTTATTAGCCTTCTGCACATCCCATTAAGGACAAGGGACTCCTACTCGTGAAGGCAATTATTAATCCTTCTTTAATGAAGAGATAGGATGATGAAGGGTGAAGGGACGATCACAAATACAACCATGCCCGAGGCGAGATTCAAACCCGCGATCCTCCAATCCGAGATCGCCATGGCACTATTGCCTTGGCAATCTTGGCTATCCAGATCGACAATAAATAATATATTGGGCTATTAACTATAATGATGTTTTTAGTAAATTATTTTTGATGTTTTATTTTTATATCAATGGTGATATTTTGGGGGGAAGTTGGTTGTATGTGTTAATGAATATGTAATTTGTTTGGACTGAAATATTGTATCTATTAATTCTTGTAATGTTGCTACAAGAATTCTTTTGGGTTATAAGTTGTTATTATTTATAAGATTTGTTATGTACATTTCTTCTTTAGTAATTCATTATAGAGATAGTTGTAAAATAAGTGATGATAATTTATCTTGTTTTATTATTTTCGTATTAATATTTGTATGTCTCTAATATTTTTAATTAGTAGTCCTTATTTACTTAGAATTTTGTTAGGTTGGGATGGTTTGGGATTGATATCTTATTGCTTAGTAATATATTATCAGAATGTGAAATCTTATAATGATGTTATGATTATGGCCTTATCTAACCAAATTAATGATGTGGCTTCATTGTTGTTGTCGATTGTTTGAATAATAAGATATGATAGATGAAATTATTTATAAATTAATACTTTTGGAAATTTGGAGAGTGAAATAAAATATCTAATTATTTTGATTATTATGCCTGCTATAACTAAAAGAGCTCAGATTCCTTTTCTTCTTGACTTTTAGCAGCTATAGCTGCTCCTACTCCTGTATCTGCTTAGTTCATTCATCAACTTTTGTTTCGGCAGGGTATATTTACTCATTCGTTTTTATTTAATTATTGAAGGGTATTCAATAAGTGATTTTATATTATTTATTGGTTGTTTAATTATATTTATATCTGGGTTAGGTGCTAATTTTGAATTAAACCGTCCCATCAACTACAACCCCATACAGCCAGAAATGTGTTTTCTTCATTTTATTTTTTTCGAAAACATAACACTATTTTATCTGATAGAAAAAATATAAAAAATAACAAAATAATTTATACTACCAGTATGCGCGCGAGATTCACCGACCAATGAGCGTCCCGCATCAAGACGCATGTCAGCGCAGCTAGCGCTCTTACTCGTTCGTTTCCATGTACTCAGCATGTACTAACCAGTGCTCCATCATTCCGCAAGTCTGTGTTTGACGCAGTACAATCCCTTATATACTCTCTGGTTTAATCACCGATTTGATAACAATAAGCCTTGTTTGTTCTAGTCGTTGTTTCGTGATTTTCCACTTGCCTCTGATAATAAGAAAAACATTTTTTGATATTTTCTCAACACCAAATTCAAATGCAAAAATTAAAAACAAAGCAAAAATTCTTAGAACCCTGGAACAGGCTTGAAAGAAATCTGAAAAGTTTTTCTTAAAACACCAAACCTAATTTTTCATATTTTTTTATTACTGAGCTCTAGTTAAGATAATAAAAACCATTTTTAACGTTTTAAACCATATACACTTTGAAAATGGCTGCAACATTTCTATGCATTTATTTCACTGTTTATTACTCATTTGTAATGAAAAATTGATCTGTTGTCCAAAAAACAAAGAAACTTTGTTGTAATGGTACTGACATAATTAAAATAACACATTAAAATAACATTGAATATATATTCAGTGGAGAAAAAAGGTTTGCTTTTTCAAAGTGTACACTTGGCATTAAAAATTATGCATTAGTTACAACTTATCTTACATTATAATGAAAAACATAAGTAGTACATAAAAGGGGCCTGCTGGACCATATTTTTAAACCCACAATTGTTGTATTTTTTAATTTTTTCATTAAAATCGTAATAAAATACTTCAATTTATTAATACTTTCATATTTTTATCCCAAAATATCCCATTGTTTGCAATTTTACATGTTGAGGTCTATTTTAGAACCCTAAACCACATATTTCAAAACACTTAATTTTTTCCATTTTATACATCAATTTAATAATGTATAACAAAATATTTTAACATATATTCAACAATAGACCATGTTTCCTCAATTTTGAAATATTCTCATTTTGGTCTAAAATATTACATATTTTGAGTGGATGAGATATGTAGTTCACATTTTAATTCAATGATCTCAATTCATTCAACATAACAGGTAAGAGTGCAGGTGTGAATATTGCATAAGAGATAACAGAACACATATGCGTATAATGTAAGAGAAAGAGTCCATGTGTGATTATTGCACAAGAGATAAGAATTTAGATATTATTATGAGATAAGGAATAAGAAAACGTATATATATAAATGCTACAATTCATATATCTTCAGTCGACATCAATATGAGTAATTTATTTTATAATTTTGTTACTTGAACCATTTTCAAGGCTCGAAATATTCTAGTCATCCATTTCATAAAACCATATATACATTGATACCAACATCCTTTTTCGTTATATATTAAAAAAATTAATTGTATGATATTAAAATTAAAAATTTTCTTGAATGAATCTATGTTGGAAGTCATATCTTAAACACATTTTTACATTACATGGTATTTCATAATACTATTCCTAATAACACACTTGGATTCATTATCCAAGCGTGTTATTAGGATTAGTATTATGAAATATAGCACAGTTTCATAGATGATTTTTGAGCAGCATCTACATTTTTTCTAATAGATATAATAGAATGAATTTTTTCTAATAGAGAATATTTATGA